ACAGAGCTATCGCGTTGAAAAACATTTTGTTGTATTAAAACAAAACGTTTTTCAACGCTTTAGCTCTGTCTGGAGATACCTCAGCTTCTAAACATAGAGAATGTACGCTGACAAACGTTTATTAGAGAATGCTTTATAAAAACCAAAGAAAAATATAAATGCATCGAATTTATTATTCTCATTTAGAAGCCCAAAGCTTAACCGTAGGAAGCAAAATCTAAAGTGTAACGTGTGAAATGCATTAAGGGCAAGTTTTTATTAAATACGAATTGTGTTCGCCATGAAGTAGCGCCTTTGATGGTTAAGCGAGCAAGGTCGCAAAGCTGAATTGCTCATCGTTCATTTGTTCGATTTTTTGTATGATTTCATTCAACAGTTGAGCTACTAGTACTATTTCGTCTTCGTCAGATTCAATTGTGAACTTATCCGAGGCTAAGGAAAATGTATCGTCGCGAAACGATCGCAATACATCTAGTGAATGGCCATTGAAACTTGTTAAATATTCGGCAATATCAGGCAGGATACACAGATCAAGAGCTGTGTAACCATCGATAGTTTTGGCATCTAGATCAATATTCCAGCCTTTTTGCATCAACAAAAACAGTGTAACGGCAGCATTCAGCATTGATCGGGCTGCATAATGGAGAAGCGTTTGTCCTTCAGTATCTTTTACCGATACATTAGCACCCAAATCTACCAACAGTTGAACCATACCGATAGTTGAATACTGACACGCATACATCAGAAATGTTTTTCCACGAACGATAGTATTAACATTTATATTACCCCTAGCCAAGAGATGCTCAACATTTTCTTTCGAATTGAGCTGAATCGCTTTGATTATAATATCAGCAGTGACGCAGCAGTTGTGCTCTAGAAGAATATCAATGACGTCGAGATTGCAATCTCTTTCAATAGCATATATTAAACATGATTCACTGACACTGTTGTATTTTAACAGATGTCGAATGACCGTCGGTATATTGAATCGACACGCAGCGTCAAGCAGTGGACCTTTGTACGATGGTAAACTTCCGCTATCTAGTAGATAAACTACCGTCTGATTTATAAATTCGTCAGGCGTATCTTTGTCAGCTTTGCTTAAAAATTGATAAATTGCTCTTGATCCGTGTTGTTTGATATCGAACTCATTTTGAACCAATACTTGTACTAGTTCATATTGTTTATTCTCCAGTGATTTCATCAATGCTAATTCCAGTGTTGTTTCTCCTGAATAACTCACGTGATTGACATTTGCACCGTGATCAAGAAGAAATTGAATACAACTGAGATTCGAATGACATATTGCACAGAATAGTGAAGATTCGTTAGTAAAACAGTTTGTTCGGTTGATATCTACTCGAATCTTTTCGACGAGATATTTAACGATCGACCATTGTTATTCATTGATGGCAGCTAATAAAGGCGTTGAACCGGTTTTAGCGTCATTTGAATCTTTATGCATCCAACAACAATCAAACAGAATTCGAACTATATCAATTGTACCAAACTGACAGGCGTGGATTAGCATCTGACGTTTTTCCACCATCTCTAATAATTCACCATCTTGAACATAATATTCAACTAATTCACACCTATGATCGCGAATAGCCGTAAGAATTTTATCTATTAATGTTTTCATTATGCAAGTCTCTCACAACAAATTCGCCTCAAATAAACTGACAGCACAAGACTGTTATTTTAGAAGTTGGAAAAAACCATTGATTTTAACGTGTGATTTTTGCTTTTCTTTATTCTGTTTTGAGTATTGTTATATAATGAAGAAAAGTAGAAAAAATACCGCATAACAAAAAGCATATGAAAAGAACAAAAAGAAAAGAAAAAATCCATGACATCATTTTGAGTGTTCAGTAAAGCAAAAAGTTGCTACTAGACAATAGCGATGGGCGAGTACCTTTCTCGAGCGGTGAGACAGGTGAATTGTGACAAAACTATCAAATGCTAACCCTCACGGTACTTGCTTTCAAATTAAATTTCTCTCGATCCAAGCACAAAAAGATGCAGTGTTTTATATACTTTTGTGGCACAGAAAAAACTGCATCGAATAGACATAAAACTAGTCTCTGCTTTCTATTCCACATTTCAAAAAATCTAAAATACTAAAGTACTCGAGAAAAGTATTTGCCCATCTCTGATAGACAATGGCATATAGATAGCAAGAGAGAAAGATAGACACACACATTTATTTAAAAGTACAGGTAGATAACACAAATACACAGATACGCGCACGCGATAGAAGGGTGAAGATAGCATGATGAAAAGATTAAGAGATTGTTTTGGATTTAAAAACGTTGAGTGTTTTTTATACAGTTAGTAACAAAGAAAGGTAGTTGACAAATTTGTAAATTATCTAGATGACGAACTTTTCTGAAAGTAGTACATTCGCGGGTGTAGAGGAGATAGTAGGAGCTAGAGATGACCAGTTAGAAAGAACTGTTCGTCATTGATGCTAATATCGTGGATATTTCAACAGATAGTGCTTGATCGACTCGATTTCTCCACAAGTGCAAAACCGACTATTACTAAATTTGTTTTGAAAAAGATCATCATTTTGTGGAGAGAAATGTACTCTCATTTGGTTTAGAATGCAACCAAATTTAAGTTAACGAAAGGACGGGGGCGATTACTTGATGAAATCGGCCCCTGCTTGAATT